GCAAACTTAAATGTTTTAAAATGTTCAAAAATTAATATATTATATTTCTGAAGTATGACGGAAGGAAAAAGTTACATTTTTTCATATTTTAAAAAAAAATCCATGGGTTTAATGGGTCCATCATCACTATATTGAGGGCCTTGTATAATAGCCCAACTGCAAAAGTAAAGATTAACGGTGAACTTTCAGATGCTTTCAAGCTTGAAAGGTCCACAAGACAAGGATGCCCACTGAGTCCACTCTTATTTGCTATTTTTATAGAGCCATTGGCTGAAAGGATTAGGCAGAATGGTAACATAAAAGGGATTAATATCACTGGAAGTGAGCAGAAATTGGCCTTGTTTTTGAAGAGTAATACCAGCCGGCAGGTGTGGCAAGGCATCCAGCACCTAACCAACTATAAGATCAATCTCGGAGCTGCGGACGGTGACCTGGAGCTGGCAGAGGAGCTGAATATCTTCTTTGCCCGCTTTGAGACCAGGGTACCGGAGGTATTGGAGCCACAGCAGCAACACGCCACCCATAGCAGCACCACCCTCACCCTGGAAGAGCACGAGGTGAGGCGCATGCTGCAGGCTGTTAACCCGAGGAAGGCGGCGGGTCCTGATGGTGTGCCAGGTCGAATATTGAGGATTGTGCAGGACAGCTGGCTGGGATCTTCACCAGGATTTTCAACAAATCCCTCGCACAGGCGACTGTCCCACTCTGCCTGAAGTCCTCCACCATAGTCCCCTTGCCTAAGAAGCCCCACATCACCGGCCTGAATGACTACAGACCGGTGGCACTCACCCCAGTGGTAATGAAATGCTTTGAGAAGCTGGTCCGCAGACACATCACAGCAGCCCTGCCCCGCAGCCTGGATCCACACCAGTTTGCCTACAGAGCAAACCGATCCACGGAAGACGCTGTAGCCACAGCACTCCATGCTGCATTAACTCACCTGGAAGAGCATGGTAGCTATGTGCGGATGCTCTTCGTGGATTACTGCTCAGCTTTTAACACCATCCTTCCACACAAACTGGTGGCCAAGCTACAAGACCTGGGGCTTCCAGACAGCACCTGCATGTGGATCAATAGCTTCCTCTCGGGCCGTAGACAGAGAGTCAGAGTTGGCCATCACACATCCTCAGCCCTGAGTCTCAGCACTGGCTCACCCCAGGGCTGTGTGCTCAGTCCACTGCTCTACTCTCTCTACACACACGACTGCACTCCTCGCCACCACAGCAACATCTTTGTGAAATTTGCAGATGACACCACAGTGGTGGGGCTCATTTCCAAGGGAGACGAGTCTACGTACAGAGACGAGGTGGAGCAGCTGACGTCATGGTGTAAGGCCAATAACCTCCTCCTCAACACTTCAAAAACCAAAGAACTCATAATAGACTTCAGAAGGAAAAAGGCAGAGATCCAACCACTATTCATAAATGGGGACTGTGTAGAAAGGGTGGCAAGCTTCCGCTTCCTGGGAGTCAATATAGAGGAGAACCTTTCCTGGAGTGTGAACACCTCCGAGCTGCTGAAAAAGGCCCAACAGAGACTGTACTTCCTGAGAATTCTCAGGAGGAATAACATCACACAGAGACTGCTGGTGTCCTTCTACAGAGCCACCATTGAGAGTGTTCTAACTTACTGCATATGCATCTGGTACACTAGCTGCACAGGGGCTCAGAGGAAAGCACTCCAAGGGATCATTAACACTGCCCAAAAGATCACTGGCTGCCCTCTCCCCACACTGGAAGTTCTACACAACGCCCACTGTTTTAAAAAGGCCCAAAACATCATAAAAGACACCTCACATCCTGGCCACTCCCTGTTCGAACTGTTGCCCTCAGGCAGACGGTACAGGGCAATCAGAGCAAGGACTAATAGACTCAAACACAGCTGTTATCCAACTGCAATAACACATCTGAATACTACAAAAAAATGTCCATCACGCCACTCTTGTGTTAATCTATGCACGGTCTGAAGCATGTGTGTGAGAATGTATGTGAATGTTTTACTGTTATATCTTATTAGTATTTTAAGTATTCTATCTATTTTATTTATTGAATTTTATTGTTTTATTTATATTTTGATATTGCTAGGGATGATGCAATGATCGGGGACCATTCTTCATTTCGTTGTTCTCATGACAATGACAATAAAGTTTCTGATTCTGATTCTGATTCTGTTTGCAGATGACATTTTGGTTTACTTATCAAAACCTACCGAATCACTTATGGAGCTCATGTCAGTGTTAAAGGAGTATGGGCTATACTCGGGATATAAATTGAATATACAAAAAACACAAGTTCTTAGTAGCTTTTATAGCCCTCCCCAGAATCTGCTCAACAAATACAAACTAAGCTGGGACAAAAGAACTATCAAATATCTGGGCATAAACTTATCAATGGATATAACTAGCTTGGAAGAAATCAACTACCCCCTACTTAAAAAAGATATCATGCTAAATATTAGCAGATGGTCTATCTAAGCATTTCTTCTAGAGTGGACATCATAAAAATGAATATGCTCCCAAAGATATTAAACTTATTCCAGTCTGTTTCTATAGAAAACCCTGATAGATACTTTGTAGAGTGGGATAGGACCCTCTCAAGATTTATATGGGCGGGTAAAAAGCCAAGAGTTAAGTTCAAAACACTTCAGCTTCCCAAAGATAAAGGAGGATTAGGCATCCCTTGCCTACAGGATTACTACAGGGCAACACAAATAAGAAATCTGGTGGGCTGGTGTAAACCCGGATACTGTTCAACAGAGAGACGAATCTGGCATTGATATCTGACATCACAACAGAGAGACGAATCTGGCATTAATATCTGACATCACAACAGAGAGACGAATTTGGCATTGATATCTGACATCACAACAGAGAGACGAATCTGGCATTGATATTGACATCACAACAGAGAGACGAATCTGGCATTAATATTTGACATCACAACAGAGAACGAATCTGGCATTATATTGACATCACAACAGAGAGACGAATCTGGCATTAATATCTGACATCACAACAGAGAGACGAATCTGGCATTATATTGACATCACAACAGAGAGACGAATCTGGCATTAATATTGACATCACAACAGAGAGACGAATCTGGCATTAATATTTGACATCACAACAGAGAGACGAATCTGGCATTGATATCTGACATCACAACAGAGAGACGAATCTGGCATTGATATCTGACATCACAACAGAGAGACGAATCTGGCATTAATATCTGACATCACAACAGAGAGACGAATTTGGCATTGATATCTGACATCACAACAGAGAGATGAATCTGGCATTGATATCTGACATCACAACAGAGAGACGAATCTGGCATTAATATTGACATCACAACAGAGAGACGAATCTGGCATTAATATCTGACATCACAACAGAGAGACGAATCTGGCATTGATATCTGACATCACAACAGAGAGACGAATCTGGCATTATATTTGACATCACAACAGAGAGACGAATTGGCATTGATATCTGACATCACAACAGAGAGACGAATCTGGCATTAATATTTGACATCACAACAGAGAGATGAATCTGGCATTGATATTTGACATCACAACAGAGAGATGAATCTGGCATTGATATTTGACATCACAACAGAGAGACTGGATGTCAATGTCAGAAAGATGACTGTGATGTCAGAACCCTCTAAATCTTGTAATTTACAGATGGTGAATGGCCTGTATTTACATAGCGCTTTACTAGTCCCTAAGGACCCCAAAGCACTTTACACATCCAGTCATCCACCCATTCACACACTGGTGATGGCAGCTACATTGTAGCCACAGCCACCCTGGGGCGCACTGACAGAGATATTTAATTCCAAATGATTTGACTGCATCATTGCGTCTTTGAGTTATGACCCAAACTCTCTATCAACTTTGTGAATAAATTCACGTCCCCCTGTGACCTCATAATTACACCACAGTTCAGATGGCATGAATGAGTCATGAGGTCACACCAACAGTGACAACATCAGCAGTGACATCACTAAAGTTGCCAGGTGAGTCCATAAATAGAACCCGTGACGTGGAGCAGGTACCGCCGTTTTGGACAATGCCACGACGCAGGTATAGACGCAACATGCGAGGTCTTCTCGCCCCGTTCGCAGACACAAGAGACCCCACAAGGCCTCGGGTGTCCGCAGACGTGGGAGAAGATACCGTCGCAGACATTAGACAATCTCAATAAACATGTAGGATGAACATCAAAACTTTGGTCCAATCAAGTTTTTTTTAGATAACATATGTTGTTGTTGTTCTGTTTGTGTTTGTTATCAATGTTGTGGAAAAAAGTTAAGCTTAGTAAGCCATCAAGCACTGATCACTCGTAGAAGAGCACCAATAGGAGACAGAACTAATTAGAAGGTGTTATTATTCAGTCTGTACATCGAATAGAAGGCACTAACCACAAGGTGATCTTCAATTCATCTCTGTGTGAATGTGAACGGGGCGAGAAGACCCCCACTAACTGCATGTCCCTAGACTGTGGGAGGAAGCTCGAGAGAACATCCAGACTCCACACAAAGACCCCGGCCTGATGAGGCTAGGGTCCTGAGTTCGATACCCTAAACTGAACGCAGGACAGAGGAAGGGATGGGTGATGTTCATGTGTGCCCAGGTGTATGATGTGGCTCTTTGTCTGTGACTGGTTGGCTGTCCCAGCCCTGGCCCTTCATGTATTTCAGTAATGTCCTTTTCTCCCGTCTCGTTTACATGTTTTTCCCTTGTGACCCATTCCTTCTGTCACGTGTGTTTCCCCCCCAGCCATCATGTTCTGTTTGTGCTTAGTTATGTCCATGTCTTATCTCCTCCAGTCTGCAAGTTGCATCCACAGGCAAGATTAATATACCCCTTCAAAGTGTTTTTTTTTTCTTTTCTCTTGATATTCATTAAGCACTCTTTAGTTGTGTGTTTCAGCTCTCAGACTGATATTTATGCCCCATGATTAGCACTGTTAATGTGTTTGGTATCCAGGGAGCACATCCAGTGTTGGGGTGCCTGGTTATGATCCTCTCACTCATCCAGCCTATCGGGGCCTTGCTGCGCTGCGGACCACAACATCACCTGTATGTATCCATCTGTGTGTGTTTAATTAATATACTATATCATGCCTATACACATTTAAGAATACTCTGTTCAAATATTATTTAAAAAAAATTAAAAATGGCCTCACTTTTTTTTCTCTACAATTATTTAACAAATTTTGAAAACACGATAAACCAAAGGAATGGGGCAGTACATGCTTAATGACTAAATGCACTGCTCACTCGGCAAAGTGAGGTTATAAAGTTATTTGATAACCCTAAGAGTTGTATTCATACTTCAGCCATAAAAGTTTTTAAAATTTCAAACTTTTGCAAAGTGTAGCCTGCATGTGCTTTATCAGAGCACACTTTCACACTGAAACACCAAGTAGGAAACTAATTTGCACATGACTCGTGAAAGTTATTCCTTCCTCTTAGTAATAATGGTACTTTTAATAAATATAGCCTGGTTGTAGCTTTGGAGGCCAGACTCAGTAAATGAAATATTTTTTAAGTGAAATATAGATTTAGTAAAATTGTATGTTCAGTAATGATACTTGTTTTCATAAATTGGATGCAGGAGAAATCTTAGACAAGAACTTCAGAAGCTGATGATTTTATAGTTCTTCTCTTTTCTTTGATAGGAGGTATCTGTTCAACTGGACACATTTTTTAAATGCGGTGGTAATAAAATCTATAGCTGGTAAGCTTGTGTTTTACTTCATTCTACCATCTTGCATATATGCTAACATTTTCAATAGCAGACACACTGTCACCCATGCTGCTCATCTTAAAATGCCTGCTTCTTTGTGTCACACAGTGGCAGCCATATTTACAGGCCTGGACAGGATTGACAGTGATGATGGGTGGCTATTGAAAGTGATGGGTGGCTTCTTTGCCTGGGAAGTTCTCTTCATCATCATTTTGGAGGTCCATGATTGGGTAGTTAAACACAGAGGTAAGCCTTTTTTTTTTGCATTTCAGTGATGAAGGAAAAAATCATCACTACCCATATACACTTTAATGACAAAAACCAATCTAGACCCAACAGTCCATTTGCACGGTGAAAGCCACCTGATCAGTTCAGCACATTTAGCTGACTGAGCGAAGAGTATAACCCCTGTACACCTCAAATGTGGTTGGATGGGTAAAATAAACAGCACTGTATCACAAGATTTTCTGTGTATAACACAGCAGCATCAAATATTTGTCACGGTACGGCATGGCACACCGTGGAAGGAGTGGGAAGGAGGACCCAGGCGCGGTGCTCTACGTATAGACAGTGTTTATTTACAGAGGGTGATATCAAACAACAATAAATCCCCGTGTTTCTCCCCAGACTCCCGTGTCGTGTCCTCCAAGTGCTCTCTGCTCCCGTGTCTGCACTCCCGTGCTCGCTGCTCCTTAAGCCTTCCACGCTCCTCCTGCGGGAAACAATAGCAGCAGTCAGGACACTGAACAATGGCAGGCATACACTACACGACCAAAACCTAAACTGGGTAACTAACGTGGAGTCCCAAGCAATGATCCCGCGTCGGTGGGAGCTCCAAGACTCTCTTAAGTAGCTCCCCCGACGAGGCCTGATCAGCAGCAGGTGTGCTTCGGGTGTGGCCAGTCCCCTTGCAGGGCCACACCCTCCAGGCCTGACGCCGCCTATAAACAAGTGCTCAGCCACCCACACACACATATACACAAGCACAGGGAAGGGGGAGCAACACCAAAATACACAGCAATAATAATAATAATAATATAATACATGACTGCTCAGGGATCCTGGGTCGCCCAGTCCCAGGACCCTGACAATATTGGTATTTATGAATTGATGAGTGAAAACGCGTAAGAATGTCTCAATGGTAGTCTGCTGGAACAAAAGCTGTTACACTTTAACTGTGCTGAAGTACAGCGACAAAGGAATCTTTATCTTTCGATTTATTAAATGCATGAAAATACTCTGGAATACTATACACGAAGGCTCAGCTCATGCACCACCAACCTAATGTTATCAGAGAGAACTTGCATTGAAATGTCTCAACTGAGACTATCCAATTTTGGACACGTGTAGTTTGACAATGCTGTGGCTCAATGTGTGGCTCAGTCACACAAATTATTAAAAAAAAATATGATCACAACCTCTTTGTGTCTACAAAAACTGGTTAATGTTTGGTGATTTTTAAAAAATGTTTTACCCCCCCGTGCCGCACACACTTTCCATGACCAATGGCAACTTGACATGCTAAATGTTTACATAGAGCTTCCAGCACATTGTTATCGTTCTGAAAGTTGTTGTTTTTTTGTTTTTTTTCAATCACCACAACTACTCAACTCGACTCAATTTTATTTAAATTGATTTCAAATTGTTCTTCTTCTGTTAAAGCTTAAAACTAATATCATAACTCAACCTGTATAAATAAAATGATTAAAAACATAGCTGACTGCTTTAGTTCACTTCAGTTAATGTGCCCTGCAATATTTCACTGTTCTTTGCTCTGGGTTTCAGATGATACTGCTGATCAAATGGAATCAGCATTGGTAAGCTGAAAGAAATATAAAAGCAAGCAATCACTGATTGCCACAAGATGGAGTATTTCTAATATAATTTTACTTTTTTTGTCAGGTCAAAGGTGACAGTTGCCTGATCGCTGTGTACCTTCTGGGAAACCTTTGCTTTTTGGTGGCACTTCTGGTTGGAATTGGAGAAAAATGAGCAGCAGCAGAATCTTCCAGAGTGTTTCCCTGTAGTTTTGTTGAATTTTATCATCAATTTTAACATACTTGATGAGAGACTGCACTGGAAATTCAGACCCACTGATGCATCAGTTGGCGAATCCTGGAAAGTTTCTCAGTAATGTCTTTAAAAAATATTACTTATGTTTTTTTTCTCTTTTGCTTTTAGTTGATAATTAAGGTGTACTTTCAATCAGCATTCAATTTCACTGGGCCAAGCATTACGGTCGTGTGTGTGTGTGTGTGTGTATAATATGTCTCACAGTTGCAAAGAAAGAAGTAGTTTCAGTCGCCTTTAGCCTCCACTCTGGCTGCCAGGTAAACCAGTTTCATTTTACAAGCTGGTTACATTTTTTAAGCCAAAAGCAATTTTGTATTAAAAAGTACTTTTAACAATTTTTCCTTTTACATTTTTAAATCAGGTCAACTCGACCCACATCATAATGGGAGGGTTAAAGCCCTTTTCACACATTAACATCTGTTAATATGACAGCATCTATGTATGAATCTGCACCTTTGTCACTTTCATTTGAAAAAAAAAAACTGTCATTGATTCAGCTCCTGAACTTCCCATTTAATGTTCATTTTTTCATATATTTCTAATAATCTTGCTGTCAATAACAACTGACAATAAGACAACAAATTTTTAACTTCATTAAATTGAAAATTATGTATGTCAGTGTAGTAGTGTTAAATGCTTACCAGGTTCAGATGCAAATGAAGAAACTCCACTCAGGCAAGTCTGCTGGACCAGATGGAGTGAGTCCCCTCAAGGCCTGTGCCCCCCAGCTTTGTGGAGTCTTCCATAAACTGTTCATGCTGAGTCTGAAGAGGGTCCCAGTGCTGTGGAAGACATCAAGCCTCGTCCCTGTACCAAAGACGCCACGTCCCAGTGGCCCCCAGGATTACAGGCCTGTGACACTGACCTCCCACATCATGAAGACCCTGGAAAGGCTCATCCTGGACCAGATCTCACCCATTGTCAGACCACATCAGGATCCCATTCAATTTGCTTACCAGCCCCGTCTCACAGGACGCCATCATCTATCTGCTCAATCGTGTCTACATCCACCAGCCGGCGAGCACTGTGAGGTTCATGTTTTTTTTACTTTTCCAGTGCTTGGTGATAAGCTAACAGCGATGCAGGGGGATGCTTCTCTAGTGTCCTGGATTGTTGATTACCTGACAGGAAGACCACAATATGTGCGTCTTCCACATTGTGTGTCTGACAAGGTAATCAGCAACACAGGAGCACCATAAGGGACCATCCTCTCCCCCTTCCTCTTCACCCTCTACACCACAGACTTCAGCCGCTGCACAGAGACCTGCATCTTCAGAAGTTTTGATGTAAATTTGTAAGTTTTGATGTAAGTAAATTTGCGGTCAATTTAGACTCAATTCAAAATCTCCTACTTGGGACGAACACTAAATGTAAATAGCTGACTTTCTAAATAAACCTATCCATCTTTGCAAGGTCAATTTTTGCTTTCATTAAATTCCAAATGTTTAGCCATAATTAGCTTAGCTGTCCTACTCTTGTTACTGCTCTTTCCTACTGCTGTTACAATCAAATGAACATCTCTGCAAAGATAAATTAGCTGAGACCTTAGGTTGATGGTTACTAGCAAACACAGAAACTACATACACTATATAGTACAGTTCTATGATACATCACCAAATAGAACAATTTGTGGCAATGCAGACAAGCAGAGAAACAGTTTAATTAGTTGAATTTGTTCACTTGATCGGAGGTGTGTTTCCTGCAGATATACAACATCGGATCTCAATGATTTTAAATGAGTAAAAGCCCTTGTGCGTTTAACCGGATTATTTATACCTTTAACATTCCAGTTATAAAACGAAGAGCAGATGACTTTGCGAGCTTGCCATTCAGGTACCAAAATGCAGGTGCAGAAAAAATATGTCCCAACCTCTGGAATAATAAATCTTTCGTGCTTGAATCGATACGGTCCAATATCGTCTTTTCAGAGCTAGCAATAGCTCTCATAATCTCACTCATGTCATGGGGTGGTGCCTCCGGTCTGTCCTCAGCATGGTCCTGTCAGGATCTGACGGCGCCCTGACCGGTCGACCTGCCAGTGTGTGTATATCTGTGTGCGTGTGTGTTGCATCTTCAAAAAATAAAAATACAATAACTGAGCCTTACACCGGAGTATCGTTGCACTGGTTTACTGAACCTTACTTTCAGGGCATGTACAGAACATGAGCATCCATTTTCTACTGCCTCCTACAGGACACACACTTCTTCCACTTCCTTACACATTAATGTAACACAGAACTAATACTGCCTCTCCTGGCATTACCATTGTAACAACACATTCATTCTGTTTCTTTCAGAAGAATAACAGGAACTTAGGATGTAGGTATCTATGAATAATAACTATTATGTATACTCATATATTTATATAACCACTTATATCTTGCGATACCACAGTGTGAAATGTCTCTCCTATCGCCCTGTCCCCCCTCCGGCTCCGCTGTGATGTGCTAGGAGGTAACCTAGCAACAGGCTACCTCCGACCCGGAAGTGCTGTCGCCCGGAGCTGCCGCACCTGCAGTCAATCCACCAGCTGCTGCCAATCAACTAGTAGCAGGGCTACTTAATGGTGTGGCTGAGCGACAGACAGCGCTGGAGTATTGCACTAAGCCTGGTAGTGTTTTTGAGTCGCTAACGTTATTGAAGTGCTGTCTGATCTTCGTACTCATTCTGCTGTCGTATGTGTGTGTGTGTTCACCCAGGGATTGACGGAGGATTTACGGACACTAAGGAAGCACTTGGAGGAGAGACGGGCACTCACTACCACGCACGGGCTTACACGGAAGGAGGGACGCACTATCACCATTGTTGCACATTTGAACTGTTGTCACCTTGCTGCACTGTAAATAAATGCACTGTCATTATTTCTGAGCTCCGCGCCTGAGTCCACTCTTTAACAACCGTGACAGGTCCGAGGCTTTTGCGGCCTGCTCTTTCCCCGATCTAGTTTTGCTCATATTCGTACACCGTAGCCTTGAAGATGTAAAAAGTGCCTCAGAGCAGCACACGGGCGTGTTATCGTACTGTTGTTAAAAGTTCGTTAGTTTTGGAGCAATGGAATTATGAAACAAGTTAGTCCATTGAGGAGCCCTGTACAACACGTCTTCACATGGCTACCAGACACGCCCCCCGTCATTTTGTTATTATTCAATTCAGAACTGCCCAGACCAGACACAGTGACGTTTCACCAGAATCCCTTTGATCTCTGGTCTTCTTTATGACATCAGCACACGAAAACCTATAAATAGGGGAGAGGTTCTCACTCTTGTCAGTCTTTCAAAGAGAGTGGAAGAATTCACTAGGCAGGAAACTAACTGGAAACTTGCGTTTCTGACACAGTTGACGGTATTTTTAAAAAATCTTTTAGTTGGTACAGAGATTTAGCATCAACTTCAATTTGAAATATGAGTCTGTCAAATCCTGTTGTATGCAACATGAGAGCCGAGAACGAAAAACTTAAACAGCAAATCAAGAGCTGAAAAATGAGAATAAAACTCTCAAACAACAAAACTCTACCATACGTGACCTTAAAGTCGAGAACGCCGACCTTAAGGAGCAAAAAAGAGAGCTCATAAATGAGAACAAGATTCTCCAAAAAACATTGAAGTTCTCTTCAAACGAAGTGGGTTCTCTAAAAACAAGAGGAAAAGAGACCTGCAACTAGAGAATGAAACAATTCACTTCAAAATTCAAGAGCTGGAATATTGGAACCAAATCTAAAGGATTTAAAACAGCTCCAAAACCAAAGAGATCCCAGCAACAGAAAGAGGTGATGCAGGAAATGGAAGCAGAAATCAGAGAGTTGCAAAGCAGCAAGACAGGCCTTGGTTATAAAAGTGGGAGACATGGAAAAGGACAACCAGTCTTTAAGAGAGGAAAATGATGTGACGGTAAAACGCATGTGTGAGCTGAAAAGGGACTTTGAAAAGGAAAAAGATGACATGCAACAGGAAATACAGGCTGTTAAAACTGAGCTCCATCAGGCAAACACAGCCTTTAAAGAGTTACAAGAGAGTGAAGAAAGAAAAAGGATCATGAATGAGGAAAACAAAACAACGGACAGTGAACAGCTCAGACAGACCCTGGAACGCCAATGCTTTGCACATGAAATTGACATATTGAGCGGCATAACGAACTTCTTGAACAGGACCTCCAGGAGCTTTCCAAAAGGAGTGGTGATTCTCAAAAAGAACTGAAACCACACGATGAGGGTGTGAAAGGAGAATCACGGATCTCCAAACCACTGAAAGACTCCCAACATGATGTAACGTGACCAACAGAGAAAAAGGAGTTGTTGTGCCATGAATTTGAGGAAATGAAAAGAGAGCTTGAAGAGGTCAAGAAAAATCAGTATATTTACAGGAAGCCTTGAAAACAGAAGACATGGCGTGCAAACCCAAGCTCAGACTCCCAAAGTTTCACAGGAAGAACATAACAATCTGATAAACAACTACGATGTCCAAGTTGACATACTCAAAAACAAAATAAGGCCTTGGAAATACGGTTAGTGACCTTACCAAAAGATGTGGAATGGACGGGAAGCGATGAGACAAATGGAAAAGAACTTTCAAGAACAAAGGAAGCTACTCGAAAATCTCCGAGGAGAATTCGAGGAAATTTAGCACAACTACGACTTTGGCCCTCCCTATTAAACCTGGTTAACGCAGGTTCAATAGGGCTATAACTTAGACAATGGAAGTTCATTTGATTTAATTGGCCCAAAATTTTTTGCTGAGTGGGTCGTACTCAACTGCACCCAGACACTCAGTAGCAAAAAAAATTAACAGAGATTCAAGAGAGAAAACGTTTCTGCATAGACTCCTATAGTACTGCAAGTCGTGTCATCGCTTGGTGTCCTGCATAGAGTGCAGGTTTAAGGTATCTACGTATCTTTCAGAATTAGAAGCTATGCTGCGTCAGGGGTTATAACACTGTGCCCCCCCCAACCGGTCGAGGCAGATGGCCGCCCCTCACTGAGCCTGGTTCTGCCGAAAGTTTCTTCCTGTTAAAAGGAGTTTTTCTTTCCACCGTCACCAAGTCTAAGGAGCTTGGAGAAAAGCGCCTGGACTTCTTTAACTTAAAGAAGTCCAGGCGCTTTTCTTTCCAAGCTCCTTAGACTACTATGGCCTTGATGACTGATAACCTTCACAGACA